CCACAATGGTATGACATTGTCTACTTTGAGCGTAAGCTCTCATGACTTTACTTTGGATTTTTTCAAAAGACCTCGTATTAATGGAGAAAGTATTATTTGATTATAAACTCATGATCATTCTCTAAATTAGCAAATGACTTTCATCATCCTACAGTGGGCTCCCTCAAAAGTCGAGCATAAACTTATTAGTATTAAATTGTTGCGAAATAGCTATTAAAAAAAACATATTTCAATTAAACATGAACTTAATATTATCATGTTTGGTTAACTTTATATAATTGGATAAATTAACCATAAAAACCATATTTAAATTAAAAAATATATAATTTTAGTTTAACTAAAGAAATAAGAAAAATAATTAGAAGCAATAAATTAAATTTGATGAAGAATAATATTTTTCAAAAATTGTAAATAATATATAAAAGGATTAAAAAAATAAATTTATTTATTGTAAATTAATAAATAATAAATTTTACCAAATATAAAAAAACAGTTAAATTTCCTAATAATTTTACCTTACTCATAACCGATTCCAAACTGGGCTAACGGTCTGAGTATTTTGATGAAGAAAAAATGGTTAAAATGGACCGATCAAACGGTAACTTTTGGGTTATTACCAAATATTTTCAACAGTAAATCATAGGATTACGTCACTTGATAAATAAACCCGGTTTGGCCCAACCGACCACCGTTTGACTTTGAAGTTATCTAACCGGCTATAAATAGTGAAAGTAAATCATAGGATTACGTCACTTGATAAATAAACCCGGTTTGGCCCAACCGACCACCGTTTGACTTTGAAGTTATCTAACCGGCTATAAATAGTGAAAGCCTCTATTTGTGTTGGTTCGCGCAATACTGAACCGAATAAACCTTGCTGTTACTCTCTCGAAGATTTTACTTCACAGAACGCAAATGGCCATGCGATCGGTGTTCGGTCGTTCCTCTCTGACTCCGTCCACGGTGCGTACCGCCGGCGTCGGTGGATTCCGATTCCTCTCAGACGGAAAAGGTCGAGTTCTCAGTGAGGAGGAGCGTGCTGCTGAGAACGTCTACATTCAGGTTGAATTAATAGTTTCGAATGTTCGAGAAAAAATGAGTTGAAAAGTAGTAGTAATTCTAGTATCGATCTGCTTTGTTGAATGTTCAGTTGTTGGATTCTTGTATGGACTTGAGTGAGATCGAAGTTACTGCTTCTGTACTTTCTTTTTGTGCGAGGAGTTGTGATCTACGATTTAGTTGTAGGAGTTCGATAATCAATCTGTTTGATCAAACGTTCACTCGTTAGAAACTGAAATAAATATGGACTGGAGTTAGGGAATATTTACTGTTTATATGAGATGGTATTTTCTTTCTGTGCGAGGAGTTTGTGTTTATTCGATTTTTAGTAGGAGTCCAATCATCAATCTGCTTCATCGAATGCTCGCTTGTTCAAAACTAAAATATAAATAGACTGGGATGAGATTGAAGATACTATTTATGTTGGCTTGTACTTTCTTCTTGCTCGAGGATTTTGTGTTCTCCAATTTGTAGTTATCGTTTTGCTAATGTTTGTGTAGAAAATGGAAAGAGAGAGACTGGAGAAGCAAAGGCTTAAGGCAGAGAAAGAAAGGGCCGAGAAGAAGGAAGAACAGTCGGAGAAGGTAATTCATTACTGGCATTGTTTTCATTAAAATTGGCTGCTGCCAAATATTTGTTAGTCGATCTGTGGTAAGAGAGGCTATGACTAACCGTATTTTGTGATCGTTGCAACTTTTATATATAAATCTTTACGGTCTTGTGGGATCCATCATCCCTAATAGTTAGTTGACAACTCTTTGATTGTGTAGTTTGTAGTTTCCATGGGCTATTTCTTCGATGTTAAATTTTGATTTCTTAAACCTATGTGGGGATTGAGCCCAAGTGTCAGAAATTGATAAAATAAAAAAGAAACCTATGTGATTTTTTATTTTTTTAAAAAGAATTATGGAAAAAATGGAGGTGAAGTCACGCCGTTAGATCTTAGAACAAAGAAGTGTTCAGGAACGTGGTTGATAAGAAAAATGACATCCTTCACCAAATTGATCAGATTGATATGTTGGATGAACAAGGGATTGTCCAAACGCAGCAAAAAGAAGAGTGCGTTAGAGCTAACACCAAATGAGCAGAGATATTTGAGACAGAAATGCAAAATTAAATGGTTGAATGAAGGGGATGAGAGTGCTTCCTTCTTCCACGGATGGGCTTCAGCTATGAAAAATAGAGTCTGTTTATCCATTCTGGAAATTGAAGATGAACGATTTTTATCTACAGAAACAGAGACTGAAGAGAATATTTTAGGCTTTTATAGAAAGTTGTATCCTGATGATAGAGACCCTCAGTTCACTATTGAAGGGATTGATTGGACTTTGATCGATAGTCAAAGAACGTCGAGATTAGAAAGACCTTGAAGTCATCAGATCTAGTGCAAGTGTTCCCAGATTCTCAAAGCATTTCAGAATATAGGCAGTCTCAAGTCCCTAGGACCTGATGGAATAACGGGAGAGTTTGGAACACCTTGAAGTCATCAGATCTAGTGCAAGTGTTCCCAGACTTTAGCTAATATGGTCATGTATATTATAGAACACCATGTATATATATAAAGAAGCTAATGCATCATTGCGGTTTCTGTGGTAATTACGCGTGTTCATAGCTGGTTGGCATTTTAAATGGACGCCTGCTATCTAGTCCTCATATCTTCGTTTCTGCTACTTTCACCTGTTATTCGTAGAAACTTGTTAGCGCCACTCAAGTTCAAGATCAGTTTATGATATGTTCTGTTGATAAAAGGTGCAAACTAGGATGCTGTTTTTGGACGTTTGGAGTTTTTATCATCCCGAAGACCCTTTCTGTAAATTATATTAATTCAATGGGTTCTTTAAACTAACAAGTCCAGGAGGGAAATTGTAGTGAACTTTCTTTTTTTCAGGTGTGCAGTGTGCTGAATCACCTTTTTTAACATGTTTCTAATTATCACTTTATACTTCTAGAAGATGACAAACTTTTTCTACTTTTTTCTGTAACTACTAAGATTAGTCAAACAAATAAATAAGTACAATTGATGATAAAGTTCATTTCACTATATCCACCAAGGGAAAAGTTGCATCATTGTCAATCAAATATTTGAATGCCAGTTTTGTTGTTCTTATTTTAGAAATTGTGTTTATCCTTTGCTTCTCATTTGCAGAAACGTGACGGGACCCAGTAGATGGTGGTGGCTCCTCTGCAAGTCGTAACATCTGCGTTGGAGTTTGGCCACAAGGAATAAAATGTGAGATTCCTCACCCCACCACCGCTTNTTTTTTTTTTTTTTTTTTTTTTTTTTTTTTTTTTTTTTTTTTTTTTTTTGTATATTAAACAATGTTACATGTCTTTGATTGTCCTCCCACTCTGAAAGTGCGTGTCATCTGATATGTTTTAAGACGCAGTGTTCTGCACTTGCTGTTCTGGACCACATCCCTTCACCTTTCTCTCAATAAGCCATTATAGTTGTTTTTCCTTTTCCTTTCGGTCCTGCTCCCTCTAAAATCCTTGGTTCGTTGATTGTCCTTTTCCTTCTCCCCCCCCCCCCCCCCCCCCCCCCCCCCCCCCCCCCCCCCCCCCCCCCCCCCCCCCCCCCCCCCCCCCCCCCCCCCCCCCCCCCCCCCCCCCCCCCCCCCCCCCCCCCCCCCCCCCCCCCCCCCCC